CACTGCTCTTCCATGTTCCTAACTCGCAGTGCGAAAAAAAAAATCGCCTTAAATAAGTGGCAGCATTTTTAAGCTAACTCATATTAGTCTCTAAAAATTTGCACACCATTCTGCCGATATAGAAAAATGTGCAAATTTATTGTAATTTTTGGTTGAAAAACTGTCATGGTCATATTTATTTTTTCTGCAAAAATCATCTTTTTTCAACTGGTAATCTATGTTTCTCAGCTGTTTAATATATAGTTCTTCTACCTGGCCTTTTTTTGTTTCCACCCACACTTACTCCAAAATATTTTAAAAATAGTTTCAAATATACCGCTGCCTTTTTCAGGGGTTTAATATTCATTGTTATTTTGACCTTTAATATTTTTGTCCTACCCTCACTCAGGGCTAATGAGGTTATGTATATGTCAGTATTTCAGGAATCAGGAATCATTAGTAAACAAACATATCCTGATATAAACCAGGTCAACTAGAAAAAAAATAATGTTATATAATAATAGGTTATGAGCTGCAGTTTTTATAAAATTATTACAGAAACTACTAAACTTAGTTTTAGCACCCCCACTGCACATCTGCCAGGCCTGATGAAATTTTTAGCTATCGCACGACAAAACAGTATCTGTCATCCAACAATTTAATTGAAAGGTCAATGCCAAAAAAAAAGAAAGTATGAGCAAATTACGCCTTCAGAACAGAAATGTCTCAGCAAATACCTCAACTTTTACATGGCAGAAAGAATAAAACGACAACACTGTTTTGCTAGCAATATTGCAATACTGCCTCTAAAGACTTCGAGAAAAAGCAGAAAGAAAAGTATTTGCTACAAATCTTTACACATAGCTCCATAACCCCAGATTTTTCTATTATAGTGTAAAATACCAAGTTTTTGTTATTTTCTTTTTTTGATGAGAGTAGTGTTAGCCCCCCCCCCCCCCCCAATATTTACTGTGCACAGATACAGCAGATTTAATCAATTTATCAACAGAGGGTGCTGTGCAGTGGTGTTAAAAGTAGAGAAAGCATGCCGACAAAACATTAAGTTGACTAGTACCAGTAACTTTTTGTTTTAGGTATTACATTCTGAAAATATTGAAAAAATGCAGCTCATGATCCCGTAAATAGTAAAAGGTAAAGTTTTTAACTAAACTGTTTATCCATTTCAGTCTTTCAGTCTTGCAGGATACAATGTTTTCACAGTCAGTGACAGACACCCATAAGTACTGAAATTAAGCAAGGCAAATGATAACGATGGAAGATCAGGTGCTCGATGATGGTTTTTTGTTCAACACTTCAATTTCAAATTCTGAACTAACCCACAGTGTTTTCAATTTTACATTTCGTACTTTTCCTTTTTCTAGAGAAGTTGATGCAACTGCAGCTCCCAATTATTAAATTAGTATGTAGAGGAGACGCAGCATAGAAATTAACAAATAAAGCTTACCCTATTTTTGCAGGCATGTACAACATGAGTGGAACAACTGGTGAGTCATCACTACCATAAATGAGGAAACCCATTTCATGTAACCGGCGGCGAAAGTATCGAGTGTTCCATGCCAACTGGCGGAGACGATGGCGACCTGGAAAAACAAATCCATATAGATATCAGTGTCTGTCTGTAAATGCCGAAGCATAGCGGTTAACTTGCAAAATATTTTTATCTGAATTGCATATTTATTTTGTTATAACCTCAGCCCGAAAACGTCTAACAAAACATTGTGCTGAAAAGGTCTTGTGAAATCACAGTGCTGAATAAGGTCACATAAAAGTAATGGGCTGATAAAGTATTGAAAGAACACTGGAGGACACAAATAACTGACCTTGCAACAATCTTTTATACAAGTATTGATACAGATGATATCTCATTGTCAGTCAGTCTGTCATAAGTCATGAGCGTTTGTATGTCTTACATTTCCATGAAATAACAGGCGAATACCATTAACTTCGAAACCGAAGACAAAAGACCAAGGACAGGCTAGTGACACAGAAATAATCTACAGGTGCATGGTTTCCAGGCACCTATGATATGTAGATGATTATTTACCTGTATTAGTTCCATCCAATCCCATGATGCATTGCATACTTGATATAATCTGTTGTGCCACTGGTGGAGACATCGAGATAGCATATACCGAACTGTGAGAATGGAATTTTAAATGTGCTATCAATTCCTGATAATGAAAAGACAATAAAGTTAAAAGTTTGCACTCTCTGTGTAGTGTGAAATCGTGCATAATAAACCAATAATATTCCAATCAGTTTTATTGGTATACATTATAAAGACAATTTTCTCTTTAAGGTATTATCATGTGCTTATGTCAACATCTTGGGAGTGTTAATTTTATGCCATTTTCTATTCATACAAGTATGCAAATATTCATAAATAATTTATTGATGGTTGCGACTTTCATGCGCTTCTGGCAAAGTAAATACATGTATGCTAAATGTAATGGCATTTCTTTAATGGTGCATGTTTTCAAAAAACTTTATATGGTTTTTTACTCTATTTCACTCAGAAAGTGATCGCTTATATACACAAGTTCACACTCATCTCAGATTCGGCCATTGTTTCGTTCTGTATGTTAATTCAGTTTGACTATACATTCCTTATATTTCAGATCCCAGATAAGTCTGATCTCCTGTATTGCGCTAAAATTAATAATAACACATTTTTTTGGCCTTACCTTAGTACCTGCAATATACCCGCCAGCTGCTCCAAAACTCTTTGTAAATGTTCCCATCATTATATCCACATCCCTGGGATCCATCCCATAATAGTCTACAACACCTCGTCCATTTGGACCCAAAGCTCCAATACTGTGTGCTTCATCCAGATAAAGATATGCATTATATTTCTTCTTCAGTCTCACTAATTCAGGTAAATTGGCAATAGAACCTTCCATACTGAAAACAGAAGTGAAACATAAAGTTAACTGGTTATAAAGTTATGACTCTCCTTTTCAGGCCTTCATTTTGAAAATGTCTTTTAAGTTAAAAATAGCTCTCCTAAAAAGCACTGAGGTGAGTTATGATTTCAATGGGTTGAAAAATAATTTTGCATGTATAAAATTATAACAAAACACAAGAGTGATCGCTAGCCTCTTACCTGTATATCCCTTCCACAATAATAAGTATTTTTTTCCAAGGCCTGTAAGTGCCTGGTTCACCGTCAATGATTGAATTTCGCAAGACATTTTCAAGGCTCTTCATATCTGTCAACAATAAAGATAACAATTAAAACTAATAAACTTTAATGACCTTCACTTAGATATTTAATTTTATGAAAATATTTGAAACTTGTAAACGCCCTCTGACAAAATGATGGTTCATGTTTGTTGTGTCAAATGAATATATTGAGAATAGAATGCTAGTTTACCAATACGCATATGCAACCAGCACCTACACAGCTGAAATTATCATTCAAGGAACCATAAGTCTAAAGAATTGGTAAAAAAATGTTGTTTTTTTTAAGAAATAAATTTTACAGTACATTAGTTTTGATCATATTTTTAAAATGATATATATGACCCTCAACAGAAAGTAGGACCAGCTGAATAATGTATATATATATGACACTCAACAGAAAGTAGGACCAGCTGAATAATGTATATTTTGCATTGAATGATGCAGGAAATTTATTTGTAGAATAAAACTGTTTCAATAGATGATTTTCCGTATAATTGCGAGATCTCGCAAGATGCATGAAAGACGCGCGTCGAACGTCTGCCGCAAAAATCGAACGCTTTGATTTTGAACTAGAATTTCTTTATTTCGTAACTCACATCGACCGGCCGATCTTCGACAGAGGAATATTGCTTCCGAATACCCTCACTTAATCGAAATTGCCTATCATCAAATGTGGACAGCACATTATTAAGCATGGAAATGTCCCCCCAAATACTTTCGCGTTTGTCGAATCCCACGCGATGTTTGACGCGACTACGACGCTATGACCTCTCGCAGTGTACGGAAAATGGTCACGACAACATACAAGGTTATCACTTGATATTCATAGAACTGTTTGATAAGAGTGATGTCATAGGTTAAAGGTGACTGGATAATATAAATATAGCCCATGATCCACGAATATCAATAAGCTATATGAATAAGTGATATCAGGTGATAACCTTTTTATCACATGACCAACTCAAAATGGCCAAGAAACAGTGATCACATGGAATTTCAGCTACCAATCATATGCAATTGGTTGTGACCTCTAAGAGCATCTGCGGATACAATTTTACAGTTACGGCCGATGGTTTTTTCAAAATTTGAAGAAATATCATGCTTCTAGGTAATAGTTTCCATAAACATTCAGTCATCAATAATATGGGTTGTTATTTCATGATGCAAGTAACTGTTGCTACCCAATCATTATCATATCGCAAGGATAAAATACAGTACCATTGTGGGATTTGGGTTTTCTACGTGTATTGTTCAAGCACACAGAGACTGATGATGTTTTTCATGCCTAACGCCACTTTTAGTGTGAAATATCAGTTAGTGATACTTACACTAAGCATCGCTACTGTGAATGATATGCATCATATAATAAAGTAAAAACGCTCCACACATATCTCCACTGAAGCATAGCAAATATTTATTAAAGCAGAAATATGAGCTGAATAATTAATGGCTCTTTCTCCGAAGAAAAAAAAAAAAATCTACTTACCATTATGCTTGAAAGTTTTTATTGAAGCACCTGAGAGGCGACATCCTAACACCAATGATGCATGGTTTAACTCATCACTCAGTATTAAGCAGCCCTGTTATTAGTAAGAGACGGGAGACGTGTCAAAGTCCAGAAATAACATACACACCCATTTTGTCAACTAATTTTTATTAATCTGTGCCATGGAGTCCCATGGTACAGATAGTATTTATTTGTCTTGTATTTGTCTTTGTTATCAGCTGCTAGCACTAAATTGGGTATAAAGAAAAACAACCTCCTGACATAATGAATGCACATTTGATGATTGGCGATCTTCGTAGATCTTATCATGTATGGTATTCATCTTTTTCTAAGTGACGTATAATGCTTATCTGTGAATGGAAACTTCACTGACATTGACAGTTATTTGCAAGATAAAAAAAAACTTTTATCTTATTATCAAATCCATCTGAGCCAGATCAATATTTGTGGTACATAATGAATAAACACACGGCAGGGTAATTTGTTGTACTACATTGCCTTACTGATATTAACATACAAACAGATGGAAAAATTATTTTTTGTTTGAATGAAAATTTATTTTGCAGCTGTGTATAGTAGTATGAGCATCTTCATATTGTATTCATTAGTACCAAAAATCATTCTGACTTAGTTTTACATAGGTTAAAAAAAGTGGATGCAAATCAGTTCACAAGGTACACTCATTCAAGAAATTCAGTCAATAATACAAGAAAAATATTTATTGTAAAACATGAATCCAAATTCCAATAAATTTGGTAAAAGATTTATGGATTTCTGATTTCCATATTATGCATCTAATAAAGCCACACTGAGCAGAACAATACAGGTTTGGAGTGTTATTTTTGAAAAACAAAATTAATAGAAACTGCACAACAACTAAAATGACACAAGGTCTCACCTTGCCAAGAAGGGCTGGGATATTCAAAGCATTAGTAGCAAAGCCCATACCGAATACCATAGCAGACTCTAACCCTAAGAATTGAGCTACTAGTTTTTCCAATTCTATGTGGATATCGAGATTGCCTAGCAAAAAAAAAAAAAAAATAGCAGAACAAAATAGTTAAGTTAACGTCAAACATACGACTAAGTAACTACTAAAAATTATATTTTAACTTATTTTATAAAGTAGTGAATTTGCTATATTAGAAATACAAAATAATGACAAAATTATTTATTACATACACATGTAGAATCATTAAATTATGACTTAGTTTGAAGACAGATACACCACTCATTTACTCAATGAAGCATGCATGTGCTAATAATAAAGCAAATGTGGTAATGTGTATTTTCATTGAACAAGTCAACATAATTGGTGATACTATAAGCTTTAGCAAGGAGATACATGCACAAACAATAATATTTTCATAAAGATATTCATGACCGAAATACATGCCATTGAGACAAAATCAGGTCAGTGTTTTAAGAACTCACCAAGTTCCTGTCTGGTGCTGCACACTCCGGCACCATATTTAATTAAAGTTTCTTGAGAAGCTTCAGCACAAGTTCCAGAGTCCTCGGCAAAACCCAGATAGTTATACGACCCAAGGTTAATACACCGACTTGATTTCCCAGTAACGCTACAAAAAATATTAATTAAATACAGATTCTCATCATAAGGCATTTATCTTGGGCGTTGTTAGCTTAGTCTGGTCTGTTATACAAATAACGTATTTTATTATTTTACATAATAGGTAAAAATAAATTCATGAATCTGAATCTATACTTTACGCAAATCAGTTTTTACCTTATGAGAATCAGTTTTCACCTTACAAAAATCAGTTTTTACCTTGTGAGAATCAGATTTTACCTTATGAGAATCAGTTTTTACCCTGTGTGAATCAGATTTTACCCTGTGTGAATCAGATTTTACCCTGTGTGAATCAGATTTTACCTTACGAGAATCAGATTTTACCCTGTGAGAATCAGATTTTACCCTGTGAGAATCAGATTTTACCCTGTGTGAATCAGATTTTACCCTGTGTGAATCAGATTTTACCCTGTGTGAATCAGTTTTTACCCTGTGTGAATCAGATTTTACCCTGTGAGAATCAGATTTTACCCTGTGAGAATCAGATTTTACCCTGTGAGAATCAGATTTTACCCTGTGTGAATCAGATTTTACCCTGTGTGAATCAGTTTTTACCCTGTGAGAATCAGATTTTACCCTGTGTGAATCAGATTTTACCCTGTGTGAATCAGATTTTACCCTGTGTGAATCAGATTTTACCTTAAGAGAATCAGATATTGAATACATACACAAGCAATAAATTTGTTGCTGTAAGAGGCTCATATAAACCAAAAATTGTTTTTATTTTATGCTGATTTATTGATATTTGACCACAGACTCACATCTATTATTTCCGTAATCGCATTCACTACTAATAGATCAAATACAGTAATCGCATTAACTGAAGTGCTCATTTAGTGTGTGGATGACTCAGCTAGATTACCTAAGACATTAGTTCTGCAGACTAAATTATAAGTCAGAATAAATAAAGATTTAACATTTTTTTTTCATTAATACACTTTGACTTTGATTTTCATGTCACAATTCCTGAGCTACCCTTTAAGAGGAAAATCATTCATTTGCATGACATAGCCCTCGTTGTAATACTGAAATGAAATGCCAAGTATAAATATATGTATATTAGATCTAGTTGTGTACATGTAATGTTAGAAATGTGACAGCAGAATGAAAATGTTACAAATCACATTGGTTGACGAGAAATATATTTTAAGATCTCCAAATCAACAAACACAATCACAAAGAGTTAGCGGCCATATTTGTTCTATGTTGAGTAGAATACAAACAAAATAGGGTTCTGATGAGAATTCATTCATTTGTGGGAAAATAAAATATTCTAAATAATTTTGTACAGTAACAGCACGCACAAAATGGGGGTAGGGTTATAAAATGTGTTTTGTGGCACAAAACAAGTTCTTTACCAACCGTCATTTAAATTTTGCTTCTCAACCTACCTTGCAATAATGGTGCTGTGGGGAAGTTTTTAGGGTTGAAGTATGCAAATTAGTATTGGGCTCCTTAACATACCGATAGTTTTAATAAGTGAGGGGGGGGGCAATGGGTTCATCAGTTACACCATTGAAATCATTATCAGTAAAGGGTTTAATGGATTCTAGGTGTTAATGGATTAAAGGGAGGTGATTAACAGTGAAAACAATGAAAAGGACCCACTTAGAATACTGACAAAAAAGTCATTCAAAACAAGCAAATATAAACAATGAAAAAGACCCACTTAGAATACTGAAAAAAAAGTCATTCAAAACAAGCAAAGATTGATATCTGACATATGATTTATCGTCAGACTGTGCATACAGGTAAGCGAGTATGCAGTATTTGTGATACACGGACAAGCACACAGACTTAGGAAGCATGATCCAAGAAATTTTAACTACACAAAATTGTGAGAGAACCAAGAATCAGTGAAAACACAAAATTTTGCAGATGTGAAAAATAAACTGGGGTCAAATTGAAACTAGGGGCATGAATTCACAGTAATATGTGCAAAATGTTGTCCACCAAACAGCATCAAATGACTTGTAGCGAAAATGAAATGCTCTACAGGAGGTTTTTTTCCTTTTGAAAATTTTTACTTGGATACTTTTTACAATGTAACAAGCATTGATTTCATCACTAGCAGCAATCCAAGAGTGTGGGTGTTCTTTCAACTAAAATAGAGCTATGAAGCAATCATTCGGCTGTCAATGTGTTTTACAAATGTAATGGGCTAAGCATAGTTGACTGAATCACACAAAAATGAGTGTGAATGAAATTATGCAAGCTATCTCTGAAAAAAAAATTTTATAAAATGATGTCAATCTGTTCATCTGCAAGAAATGATTCCAGAAACATTTACAGACTGCAAATTTCAGGTTGTCGACAAATTTGATGAAGCTACACTGAATTAGATGATATATTAGTGAGAAATCAGCATGAATATGAATAAAAAAAACAGTCTGCCATTATTGTTCAAATCTCAAAAAAAATATGACATGCACTCAAAACCCAACATGACCATGACAAATAGTTTTAGTAAAAAACCAGTCAGTCTAAATCAAATAGTAATGTAAATCAATGTACGTATGTAAGTCATCATACATAATCCTTGTGTTTAGTTAGATTGTGATCGATCAAAGCATGTCTGAGAAATTGCTCCGGAAGTAAAAACTGATATCGGACAAACAGAATCTAAGCCAATAGTCCCAGACTTTGTCTAAAATGATAACTAATCATTTTATGTTGCAAAGGGTGCGCAAAAGTATAGCAGATGTGTCCATTGAAATAATTAAAACTGTCTTGATTAAAAGATCAATCTTGATTTTTCAATGAAAACCACTTTAATTTACGGCTTGAAAATTATTAGCGTCGCAAAATTTAAAAGTAATTTTTCATGTGTTGTTCAACTTCACTCTGCGTGCTATTTCAATAAAGAATTTGTTTAATCCCCTATGTTTATTCACACATTATCCCCGTCACATGACCATATTACAAGAGCGAGTGGGCCAACAATGTTACATGTTGGCTTTTGGGATATTCTAAACCTGCAACGTGTCATCCACATCACAGATCTAGAAATAAACTGGTAGCCGATCAAACCGACCAACTAATTTGAATAAAATATCAGCTAGTCCTTAAATAGACAGCAGTTTTTTCAGTTTTGTTGGGACCACATATATTTTTATTTTTTCAACTTACTTGAAAACGAAACTACGTCACTCCACATGCATTGATAATTGTTACATTGATTACAGTCCTCAACACTGACTCATATCAAGATTAATTTCGCAATTCCTCAACATCTACCGTAGATCGTATTTTCAGCTGTATAAATATCAAGCTAAACCAATACTGTAAAACCATTTATTTTCACTGAAATTTCATTTCACTATTTTGATGTTTTGAGCTTTTTCACTGGGTTTTAATTTCACAAACGCAGGGAAACAATGATTTCTATTGTTATTTCGCATGCATGTTCATGTGCTTTTAAGAGAAATTTATAAAGAAACTAAAAACCAGTGAATAATTTAGGCATTTACAGTATGTAAAGGTTGTGTGGACAAACCACAAAGGAGTTATCTGAAACCAGACTAAATTTTTAAAAATAGTTTTCTCAATAGTTTTTCAATTCATTTTTAATCACTTGTATTTTAAAATTTTTTTTAAGAATACTATGTTTGTTTATAGGATGGGGATAAGAGCGAAAATATCTACAGAGCGTCATTCAAAGGTAGTTTGTTTTATTGATACAAGCCCTAATTCGTACCAAGATCTAAGGCATTCTAGTTTTAGAACGATAGAGTGATCCCTAGATCAGACAGTACCCTACATCGATGAAAGTATCAATACTCACTCTAAGTGCCAGTTGTAATCACTGCTAGTTCTTTCCATGATATCAAACCATCCACCCGGAGTACTGCATATTGGTCGATTCCAACAGTCTCGGATACGTCTATAAAGATTGCGTGTATAAAAACTTTCAAAATCGGAATATAATGGAACAAAACCCTGTAGTAGGAAAGCAGGAGATATTAATATAATTTGGGCATTAACCTCTAGCGATAGTGTTTTCGCAGTCTGGGCATGGACGAAAAGTAACACTAACACATCATTAATTAAACTTGCACTTTAAAGTGAGACTTATTTACATAAAGCTAAAGGCAACAAGATTATTTACAACATTCATTTGAAAATGGTTAACCACACTTAATTGTAAAAAAACTCGGGAAAGCTAATACAAATCTGAAAGTTGAAAATAATTTATGTCAAGAAATAGATAATAATAAAGATGACACACCAAGAATTGAACAAATTACAAATTTGAGAACTACTGGACTGCAGCTACAGAGCACAAATTACAAGCTTTTTACAAAACTAAAGAATCTCCCCAAACATAGATTACCAATTGAAAAGTGCTGATTACTACAAGAATACTTGGCAATGGAACCCAGTATAACCTGAATTGTACAGAATTTATCGATTTACTCAATGTTTCAGACACAATCTTGCTATCAGTAATACCTTTTTTAATGAAATTAGTAGTATTTTCTAAATGTAATTGTTAAGACAATACTGCTGTACTATTCCTCGTCACTGTGTTAAATCTTTGAGTTAAGTCAACTTCTGTCACCGGCCATTTACAAAATAAAACATGTTGACATTTTTTCAATATTTTTTTTCAAAATTTTGCTCAAGACCCTTAGGCAATATGAAATGTCCATTTTATAGAAAAACACTTAAAAATAGGCAAAATGTATCACCAACATTTTGGTGGGAAAAATTATGGCGGGAAAAATTATGGCGGAAAAAATTATGGCGAGAAAAGGTTTAAACAACTTCAACTGAAAATTATAGCATCAGTAATGGTTAATCCAAAAATTATCTAAAAGCATTAAATTTACATGCGCATAGTTTGAGGCATTGTTTATCAACCAATGTAAGATTATATAATCTTGATACAAGGGTTATCATTTTTTACTGATTTGCAAAAATTTGTATCATGAAATTACATGTAGAGCGGTTTGCAGTATCCTATTCAACTGCACTAGACTTTTGTTTACATTTATTTACACCTTACATAGAAGAATTCCCACCATTGAAAAGCAAAAAATCATGAACAGCTTAGGGGGTACTAACCATTGTTATTGTTACAAAGAGAGGAAGTAGTATTTTAGTACATGTCATGAATGTGTACATGTCAACTGCACACTCCTGAACAGATCAAAAGGTGTAACACAAACAAAAACCAACCTTATTTCCAAATTCTTTTGCAGCACTATTTTTTTCTCCACAAAGCTTCCTCAAGAAGTCTCTGACATGGCCAACTACCACAAGTAAGGCATATGCCATGTAGGTAACTATTGCTATCAGCATAGGAGCTTCCTCAAACGATTCACATGATTTCTTCTTTGTATACTTAACCTGTAGACAATACATTATTAAAAAACATTGCAAGCATGTTTTCAAAACTGTCACTTACATTGTATATCAATAAATAAATAAATAAATAAATAAATAAATAAATAAATAAATAAATAAATAAATAAATAAATAAATAAATAAATAAATAAATAAATAAATAAATAAATAGCTGAACAAAAAAAAAAAAGAAAACTTAAAAATCAATTGGAAAGCTTCAGATATTCAATATTTGAGAAAAATCCAATAAGCCTGTTATTCCCAGAAATGTTTTTTTTGGGATTTCATAATTTCTCATTAGTTGAAGACGTCATGAGCAAAACAAAGTACATGTAGAGCATTCAACATTTTCACCACCAGACTTTATCGCCCAAATTTTTCTGCACTTTTTTTTCTTATATCAGTAATATTCTTCAATATTTCTGGAAATAAGCTCTAATTATGGAACCAACAGACAAAATTTGAGTCAATTTTTATTTTTTACTCGAAACATTTTTATCTTCTGAAGGAAAGGGCAGACTATAAACGGGACTATTTGTAAATTTGTGATGAAAAGAGAGAACTAGTGGTGAAAAGGTCAAGCTTGGTAGAAAATAAGATTAGCAAATTGAAATCCTGAACATCTGAATTTTACTTGAGCAAATCTATTGTGGTTGACATTTCTCCTGGACAAGTCAGTTTAAACAACTTTTCATTTCAAGATGCACAAGTTCCACCAAACAGTCCACCTCTTTAATATGCAAATCCATGAGAAATGTAGAAGATGAACAATTCAACTCACATAAACACCATAAATTGTATACACAAAGTCAACAAAAGGTGTGATCATCTACAAAATAGGTCAGAACCACTGATCACAAAGTACTGTCAGTACTGTAAATGCATTAATTATTCACTGGGTTTCAATTTTGCTGTTTTCGCATAAGTAAAATTTGCTAAATTAAATCTATGTGAACATGTTAAATAAAGCTACTTTTCTATAATAATTTGCATCATTTTGGACGATATGAACATAAATTTTGATTGATCAAAATTTGTGTAAAATATCTGAAAAAATATGCAGGTTTTATTTTGTGCAACATTAAAAATATGGTCTTACTGATATAAAAAAATTTAAATCATAAAACTTCTAACCACTAAAAATGATGACTTCAGCAGTTTGTTGTGAAGGATGAAGTTGTAAACAAATTCGTTTCTCAAAAAAGTAAAGTATATACTGCGATGACTATATGCCCGGCTGTTTTGAAGTAAAAAAAATTGTATTTTGTCTCTCAAAAATAATCGAGGGATTAACAGGTTAGAATCTCCATAGATTAGATTTATTTCTGACAACATGTACATATGAAGGTAGAAAATTCTAGAAGGAGCAGAGTAAAGGTTGAAATTTTCAACTAGGGAAAAAACGGGAACATCAAAATCACTCATCAACCAAAATGAACTAAAGAAATTCCGCTGTAGTAATAGTATATTATTGCTAGACTACATCGGGAGTGTTTTGTGTTTTGTTTATTCCTATAGCCCTTTGGGTGTGGCGGGAATTAAAACGCATCTACATACCACCGAACCTTCCCCTGGTATATGACAAAGCACGAATACATGTACTAAATTCTTTACTAGTAACGCGGACTATGATCACACAACACGAAGGTCAAACAAACACTCAAACTCAAAGTTGTGGTTCGTGAAAGACGTTCTGTGTCGATGACATACCAACATTGCTATAACATATGAGCAGGTGGATGAGAGTGGTAAATGTAGATGTTTGGTAATGCATTTTAGAAACGAATCTCCACCCGAATAAATATCATACCTTTGAAGTCGGTACTTGTTTGCATATAGTATGGCCGTTACGGATGCCGTTGGCGACAGCGCCCTGGTTGTGATGTTTTCTTTTTTTCACATCGCCGTTTCGAACAACCCCTTCGTCGAAAGCCATTTCTGTTAATACTAGTCTGAGGTTACTGATAAGGGATTCCACTTGTCAGATAGCTCTCGCGGGCTGGCACGGGGGGTTAGCTCAATGAGATGTAGTCGTAACTGAGTGGTCCATTATATCAACATATTTGTCGGCTGACCAATCACAGGGCTCATACTGATAACGTTGAGCAGTACCGTAACAACACAGACGAAGCATACGAGTCACATATTTTTTCACTTGTTAATTTTTTTATTATAAGAATTTGATGATTATAATTCAAACAAAGGTAAAATTACGTGTATTTCAATGAAACAAGTAAAAAAAAAAATTAAAAATATAAATGACGTCATTTAACAACTGCGCATGTGTAGTAGCCCCTGACCTCATTGCGTCACTTCTCCTTCTTCATAAATTTCCTGAACGCCATATTGCAATCCGATAGCATTGCACAAATTTTTCATAGGGAACTGTATTGGCCAAGAATTTCACATTTATCCCAGTAGCCCACATTTAACATAACCATGGACGAATTTGACCCCACTTTCGCTTCTTCTGAGCAACCAATACAGAGCGGCGCACCATTCGATAATGATGATTTTGTTCAACTAGACACACCGAAAGGAGAGGCCGTTACCTCGTCGAGGCTTGATGATGAGGCTGCAGAAGAAGATCTGTACACAGGCGCTCCTCTGCAAAGTTCCGAAGCGGAGCCCTCTGTTCCTACAGCAAATTTATTAGGAGGTGGATTTGAAGATCAAGAACCAATTTCTTCTACGACTGACCTTATTAACGAGGAGCCCGAATGTTTAATCCCAGATACAAATGTTACCGAACCCGTAGAAGATACGGGTTTCTCGTTAACAGACCCGCCAGAAGAAACCAAAGAGCCTGCCAAAACAGGTAATGTATTACTAATAATCGAAGTGTGACTGCAGTGTAACTCTGTTGGGAGGCAGGAAATATCGATCGGTCTTGTATATTACATTGTATGTAAATTAAAACTATCATCGGTATAATGCGGAATGCCATTCTTGACAAAATTTCATCATTCAATCCATGTGACAATGACATGTGTTTCAATAAACTGGTTAAAACATTGTCTGGCGTATCATTTAATGCACTGCATCCATTACAATGAACAACGCGATTGTTTTTTTAGAAATTATATGGTTGATGCAGATTTTGCTTTACCAGATTTTCATGCGAAACATGAAGTAATCTGAAAAAAAGATATCACTCTGAATGACTCAGTGATTGAATGAAATTTATCATGTACTCGTCATGCACTGGTCATGAACCCTTGTAAACAATAGGTGTGGATACTGCGGAACGATGGTAATGTTGTACGTCATTACATATGCAAATTAGAACTGTTGATTTCAGTAAAATTGACCCTAATCTAGGTTCTTTTTATATTTTTTTAATTCTAGGAGGCATATTCGATGGATTGCAAAAAATGGACACCAGAGGTAATGTCATTAAAACATTCATATAAAATACTCTTATTGATAGATATGTTCTGCCTTTTGTGCATGCAAACTGGGTATTTATTTAGCAAGGTCATAGGAAGTGCATCATTGGTGTTGGTGCTAAGTTATATTGGGCATTGGGATATCTATCAGTATTTAGCAGAAAGGAGTCTATCAAATATCTGTATTATTCATTTTGTAATTAAAAATGGGAACATTTTTTTATTACGTTATCATTCACCACTTAATTTCAGCTGCAGTTGGTTAATTTAATCCTTTATGATGCTCCACTTGTTCAGCCTCTTCCCAGACACACTTTCACACACCATTTTTTATGCTAATGACCCTGATTACAGTCTCAGTGCTTTCATTTCCTCAACCCATTATGATGCAAAACATTATTTATTATACAATTTTTTTTTTTGACTAAAATAAAAATATGTATCAAATAAAGGACTCTGACCTTTGCACTATTTTGAGTAATCCTTTTTTTGACCTAACAGTTTTGCATATTACTCATAAATATGGTCTTTGTGCTAGGAGTTCTACTCACAGACAAAGGAATGACTATTTGGTGGTATGTTGATTAAATCAAACAGAGGCTGGTGATAAAGTCCTGCTAAGTGTCTGTTGGTAGTTTTCATTTTTTGTGTTTGAATATCTTTGTAGTCAAGGCACATTAGGAATGTGCTTAATTTAGTAATATATCATTGTTATCCTGTGGCAGATTGTCTTTCTTTTTTCAAATAAGCCTTTATTCATGAAGCATTGTTAGGCAAATTAGCCTATTTACATCAAAAGTCGGGATGTAGATTTCTAATTTGAGTCTGGGAAATTTTTATCCCATTCAGCTGAAATTCAATACTGTTTAAATATTTGTTACATGTCCCTTGCACTTGTGCTAAAATAATGAAGAAAGAAATTGTCAGCTTGTGGCTGAAAATTCAGATTACCTTTAAGGAGCCCCTGAGATGCATTGAGTTCATGAATAACAATAGGTAAATGGGACAGGTAACTCGTCAGTGTGCATATATAAAATGATACATACATTATCATGTTATTTACTAGCGACTGACTGCGGATACTATAATCAAGGCCAGGGCTGTTCAAGGTGAAATCTCTCACCTGAGATGATATCCTGATACGCTCCAGTTTCAGTGCTTTTTAGTGTTAGATATTCTAGAACTGTTTTCATATTATCAGAGATGCAGGAAGCCAGTGACTTTGATGGTAAAATTACAGAGGACACTGTTGAGGAGTGTGTTGGGGATGAAGCAGTGGTGACTAGTAATAGCTGTAGTCAACACAAAGGTAATAGTGAAAAAAAAATGCATCTTCGAATGGCTTGCTTGCTTCAAAGCTGTTTTTTAATTTACAAAAAAATGTCAGATTTAGAAAATTTTGACTACTGTTTTTCCATCCCCTTCCTAAAAGCTTTTTGTGATTTTCGTGTTTAGCATGCGTGTATGCCAAAATTGATTTTGTGGTTGTTGTTTTTTTTGCGTAAGCAAGCAGCCATATTTATTATGTATGTAAGTAGGACTAGCTAGTGAGCAAGACACTGCGGATGGACGAACAAATAGGAAATGAATTTTGCATTCAACGTGCTGTGAATTTTTGTTTTGTGAGATAACTTCTCTGGCATTTTAATCACTTGAGTTGTCACAGAATGAAATAATTAATATTGTTAGTCATACATAATTAATTTTGTTTAATTATATGCATGCTATAGTCGTATTTTAAGTTAATTGTTGAATTTTCCTGCTTTCACTTGAATGTTGATTAATGTTTTTAGTTCAACCGAGGCAGACAGCGGGTGTGACTCGACTGCTCAATGTACCTTCTATAGCACAATTACTTGTAATTTAAAGTTAGCTTGGATATCTTAGCATGATCATTGTAATACATGCATCCAATTTCGCACGTTCTGGTTATGATTTGCATTTAGCTACTGTAAATAAAAATGTGGTTACAATTTAATCTGAGTTTTGAGCTACCAGTGAAATAGACGATGACTGCTTGTCCTATGTTTCACCTCAGATTTAGGTAGAGTGTGCACGTTTTTTAGTGGCATAATGTAGGGTTGCCTGATTCTCCAATATTAAATTTGACAACAAAATTTAGATAACTTAAAAGTCATGCAAATGTTAAATTGTTGCTTGTCCCCTTGTTTTTACACTACAGTGAAAAGTATGGGAGGGATTGTTTCAGTGTCTGTAGTTTCTTTTGTACAAAGGCTTTAGCATGTTAGCATGACCTTTATGACCTCTGTTTGGCAGACATGTGGTTGGCCACGGTTCAAAAATAGCAGACGAACCCATCTGGGATTAATGTTGATGAACTAATGGATGGAATAAACATGATGCGCTGGTCTTTGCCAACGCGCATACAGAATATAAAATATCGCGCATTTGCTAAGAATAGAATTCATAACTAGCCGTGTTCGCGAGGTGATCACCACACTTTATAAAACCGACTTGCTCCCATAACCATGTATGGTATTCCCATCTACTTTCCTTTCGAGATCCATGCAATTATGTCAGCTGTCATGCAAGTCAAAGACTCCGGTCGTCTTTTACAATCTGAGTGTCTTAGTAAAACTCCCCTCAAGCAAGGTAAGTGGATGATCGATTAATTTCAACGACCAGCCAAATATAATTTTGTTGATTCATTTCCTGGAATTTTCTGGCTGTACAAATATTAGGTTTCAAATTTGTCAGCTTAGTTACCCAGTTCTTTACTTTTAGGAAGAAGTAGTGAGTGCCTCCTCCCTATTTTGTGGTGTGGTATTTGGTTTTCTGTTTCTAACTGCAGTTTTTTTGTTTTTTTTGTATTGCATCATATTTTAAAAATCGCCTTCAGCCAGGAGGATGATAATTTTTCATCAAATTAGTGCATGTTTAATATGTTAGTCTGATTAGTCCCCTGTTGAACAGATTGCACCTGCTCCTAGTAAGGAGAGGAACAGCTGTGTTTCAACTGCAATCAAAAACTTATTCAGGTCTTTTAGCAATTAGACTATTTTTTTTCTTTTTATGTATTTTTGGTATAGTATATCATTTTGCCAGACTAATAACCCTCAGTCTTAGACATTTATATATTTCTTAATTAGCTTAAAGCAAATATATTATGATTATTCAAAATTTGAAAAATAAAAAGTTACAATATTTCAACTGAAATGCTGTTGACATACGAGTCATTACAGACAAAAAAAAGTAAAAACTGAAGAATTGTTTTTCTCTATACTTTGATATGCAAATTAATAACGTCAAAAGTGCGTGCATGCTGGCAATAGAATTCGCGTTTAGAGGATGTTGGCAAAAGACTCTTGCAGAATTTCGGCTGAATGGGTCCTAATGAAACGCGCAATCGTTCTTTTCGTGCTTGAAATAATTCGCAAATATTTTAACCTGTTACTTTAAATTGAAATGTGATGGTGTTCTGGAGTGCGATGATCGAAAACTGGACATGTTTGACATTAATTGGTTAATTATGTGTAGTCTTTGTGTAGGCAGTATTTGGTTGTTGTTCATTTCAGTTAATGTGGTATTTGTGATATTGATCAGTGTTGACAACTGTTAATAATTATTTAGTGAAATACAGTGTTTTTACACAGAAATATGGAAGCAAAATGTGTGTATAACACTGACAAATATCATTTATTCTCTCATACAAAGCTGTAATTGCCATTGTTGCTGAAAAAATGGCAAAATTTGTTGTGAAGCTTAATATAATATTTATTTGAATGAGAAATATGAAATGGTTCCTGCATATTCAAGTATAAGCAATTGTTTTTATTTGAAGTGGCACGTAGGTTGTTGTATATGTGCTGCATCAGAAATAGGTGTGTCTCTTGACAAGACATGGGAATACCTTGACCTGGGCCTCCTAGCTCACTGCTAATATCAGTAAAAAACATTAGCTATATTCTTACAATAGACAGTGACCTGGAAGCCCTTAGGACTTCCACTGAATTATTGTAATTCTGCAAAATTCATATTTGTAATTGTAGCTCAAGGTTTTTATTTCCTAGTGTTTAAAAATAACTTGTTAAAAATTTTCTTGGATTTAAGACATTCAGTGAAATCATCTTAAAGCATCTGTTGTTCCAGCTTTTGTAATTCAATTCAAGGGGTAGTGCCCATATCTAAGGAATTTCAATGTATTCAAATTATTAGCAAAAAAAAAAAATGTTTAAATGATTTATTTTTCCCCCCAAGTTTCCCTGTCCCTGCCTTGATACATGGACATCTATGTTTTTTTTCATGATGTGTCTTCTGTCCACGTCTTCTATTGCCTGCCTTCCCTTTTGCATCAACTCTGCTCTTGTTATTCTTGTTCATTTCACTAGATAGTATCTTTTATAATTTACTAAACATGAATTTTATCTTCTAGGAAAGATCACATCACCATTCAATTCTTATTCTTTCGCAGTACTGTTATTATTAGCAATCAATATTTTAACATTGCCAGAGTTCATTTGCATGTATTTTGTTTATTGTTTTTCTCTGCATGCTCTCCCGGAATTTTAGACGATGGTTTGTGTTATTATTGTTATTTTAGTATTATTTATTTGTTAGAATTTATACTTTATTTATTATTTGTTTTCTCTCAAATCAAGATTCAATAACTAAAATTTTTGTCAGTATATGCTATCTTGCTGAACAAATTCTACTGAGTTCAAATACATTATTGAATACAATATTAAATTGGCAAGAGATTTGCAGTTGCTTTGTCTCATTCATATTTACACAAGTTGAGTTTATTATTTGAAGTGTTTGAATGAATATATATATAAAAAAATGATGTGTCACAAAATACTAATCTTCATAAAATATGCCTAAGTGGAGTTTGAATAATTCAGTTTCATTGTATAGAGATACAACTGTCAGGATCTCATTATCAATGAGTAATTGTTATATCGAGCGAGTTTTTAGACAAGGATGTTGGGATATAATCTTCAAAATCAATCACGTTATATACAATCATAATATCACCAATTAATGAAGGTTTGAAATTGTTATTAATGATAATCAGTGTATAGAAAGCGTATATTTTATGGACAATTAGATTACAAGTTGGATGTTTAAACTGGGATGCTAAACGGTGTGCATGAAATATCGCTCAAGCAATGCATCTTTATCAATATTGCAAGCAGTAGCATAGAGATGCATGACTTAATTTAATGTTTGCCATCATCAATTATGTATTCTTGTTTTTACCCACATTGCATTTCTGCAGGTAGGTGTTCGTTTTGTTGCGCACAATCCCTCGCCCTAATTCAATGATAATTCCCTGCTTTCTCGTTTCATTTTATTTTATAAAATTGTAATTATCATTTTTTTTTTGTGTGTGTGTCATCTTATCTTTGTTCACAGTGGTTGAGTTGATCTATTGGCGTGATCCTAAAAAGAGTGGAATTGTGTTCGGCAGCTGTCTGTTCCTTCTATTGTCTCTCAGCTTCAACTCTCTCATTAGTGTAGTGGCGTACCTTTCTCTGGCCGTTCTCACCGTCACTATCAGTTTCCGTGTGTACAAGACAGTCCTACAGGCTGTGCAGAAGACCGGAGACTCCAACCCTTTCAAGTAAGTACCTCTGATGTAAATCAATTGAATCTTGATTAAAAAAAATTGGTCTGTGATTTCTGAGAAATGCAAGAAGGGGGTCGATGTACTGATTTGTAGTTGTACATGTGCAATCCACAGGAATGTTGGAGTGGAGAATTTTGAGTATTTTACTTTCAGTGAAACAGAATTCCAAGTGATAGTGAATTCAAAATTCTTGAGTATTAATTTTAGAAGTTTATAAACACCAAGTGATAAGACCTGTTGAAAGTAAACTTGGCATACTGTAAAATCATTGAATTTCACTGACGTTTAATTTCACTATTTTGATGTTTTGAACATATTCACTGTGTTTTAATTTCACAAATATGTCAAGGAGTTTTATTATTTTACATGTTCATGCCGATATAATTTAGTGGATTTTATTTATTGGCAAAAATAGCGAAACCCAGTGAATAATTAATTTTTGGCGAGTGGTATGATAATTACTGAGCATGAGCAAGGTTATATGTATGCCAATTTCCCCGGAAGAGGTCTATTAAATATCCAAGCATACTGTTCATAAACTCATAACATGCTCAAAGGTGAATTGCACCATAAAAAGCTAATGTTTCAGTGTCTTTCCTGGATTGTACTACTACAGTCAAACCTGTCTATAAAGGACAGTCAGTGGACTGAGCCAAACTGTCCTTTTATAGACAGGTGGTCTTTATATGGAGGTGGCCTAATTTATTCATTCAATCATGAATATTAATTAGGGCGGGAATTTTAAGGGAGATCATAAGCTAAACATAAAAACAAACCTACACATTGTACAATGAACAGGTCTTGTTTAATAAAAGTCACTCATTTTCATCTGGATAATTACACAGCTTTACTTTTTTACTACAAATTATATCATGTAAATTCACTGAAACCAAGTGATTCATTGGTGTATTTAATGCATAAGAACGATTGTCAACGATCGGCCGCATTGGCGTTTCAGCTCAGACTTTCACACTCTCGCCATGCAGTCTTATTCCCCAGTCTCTTACACATATTTCATCGCAGGCGGTAATCAGTCCCATCATTAGTATTGTCGATTGTACACTATGACAAAATGTACAGGCAACGTTGCCATGTTTGAAAAAACAGGCATTAAAAATGAAGAAGCATTGGTAATAAACAAAATTTACCAAACTCATAACGATTGCTCCAACTGTCGGTGTTGAATCAGAAAGTCAAACAAACCGGAAATGAAACACTATCATCGTACACGCAATATTACAGTTATTTGTTGCAAGCATCGACGTGTCAAAACTGCCCAAACAAAACAAATTTTCTCGATTGCGAATTATTGATATTACCGTATAAAAAAAAAAGATCAAAATAGAAAACATCTTTCGTTGAGAATCACCCCGAGATGACCCCTCAGTAACAATACGTTTTTCCCATGCGCTAGCTTCATTAGCATAATTTATAACTATCAACAACAAACAACATGGCGGCCAAAATAGGTCGGATTTTGCAATCCCGCGATAAAAACGAAATAAACGAATGTTTTATTATTTTGTTTGGATATTTCATGTCGACAAGGTAAATAAAACATCTCTCATTTAATAAAGCTGGTTAATTTTTCTTGTTTTCGAGACTGGGGGAATTTGCATTTCATGTGCGAGAAGTGCTGCTGGCCGGCTGGGAATCGATAGTAAAGTACCGATCGGAAACAAGCTAGTTTTTCATTTCAAACTTTGAATGAAACTGTTTTAATTTGTTGTTACAATCTTTCCAGTCTCCAGACGTTACAATTCAGATGATATTCAACTTTTTTAGCTCCGCTGTCGACTTTGTCGAGCGGAGCTTATCATATGAGTGAGTGTCCGGTGTCGTCAGTGTCAATGTTTTACTTTTCCGACTTCTTGTTGAAAACCGCAAG